ATCCTAGTATGTGTGATAGCAGCCATAGTGCTGTCTTTCACTTGAGTTTACTTGGTGTTACGTGTTTTCTGTGCTCAGCCACTGACCTGGCATCTCAGAGGTAATGTGTATGTAAGCATACACTCCTCAGTTTAACTCATGTCTAACTTCATAGTTACTGAATTATTTGTATGTTAAAGCCTGCCATTCTTGTTTGCTTGTTATTGGCATATACATAACAGAATAATTAATTGACTTGCTGCTAGTGCATGTGGTCAGCAATGTATGCCAGGGTCGGGAAGGAGGGAGTTGTCACACCTGGTAACATAGCTGTTGCTGGTCCTGTTTCATTTCTGCATTGGATGGAGTGTTGTTTTGTGTAACTGGAGCTCTGTGGTGATGTTATTTACTATCAGGAGAATGAGATCTGTCAGAATGCATCGTGATTTCTCACTGAGGAAAAAACTGTTACAGTCCTGAAGGGATGAAAAAATGAGTCAAATGCTAAAAGGCCACAGGAGCTTAAGAACAAACATTATGAAACAACATTGAAGACTTGATGTATATGCATCTGTGAATTACTTTAAGGTGTAGAGTGACTGAAGTGTTGAGGCTAGGGTTTTTGAAATATCAAGTACTGCTGTGGGCTAAAGATGATATGTACTGGACTTCATGCTGCACTGTTATTCAGTACAGACAGCTATGGATTAAGAACTATATGCTTGGTGTAATGAGAATACCCACAACATAGAGATCTGCTACTTCCATAAAGGAAAAACAGATACATAGAAAATCAGACAGTAATGATCATAAAGTTAAGCTGTTGCAAAACACAGATGTCCTGGCTTGGAAGTTTTGTATTTATCAAGCTTTTAGATTTGAGACAGTGGCTTTCCATATGTTGATCAGGACAACTTGCCGAATGTAGATGTGCAGGTAAAAATAAAGTGCCTGACTTTTATCTAATGAGTCACTTCAGCTGAAAGGGGCATGTCTTTGTTCCACCACTGTCTACGAATGTTTCGGTGTCTGAGACTTGTGTAGCTTGTTCCATGACTTCAGGACTGGGTCCAGTAACCCAGCAGAAAACCAATGCAACCAAAAGAATGAGAAGTGGACTGCAGAGTTAGTTAAGCAGAAACATTTTTAGGTGGAGCTGGCAGATGCCAGAGTAGTGTAAAGGATAAGGTGTATCCTACAGAGGGGACAGGGCAGGGGGAAAGAAGGTAAGGGAAGGAGTTGTGTATTCTTTGTCTGAGGGGAGCTCTGATTGGCTCAGTCATTTTGTACAACTCCACCCTCAGAATCACCATGGGAAAGAATGTGAAAATATTTTGTTGTTGTTGTTGTGGGCTGACTCACAATGAGTCAGCATCTCAGTGATAAATGAGGTAAAGTGGGGAAATAATAGACTGCTGTGGGGGTCTAAAAAGTTTGTAGCTTCTCTTCATCTTTTTCAGATAGAAAAGCAAGAGATACTGAGGAGAAAGGGTGCATTAACTAAAGCTAAGAAATGTCTGCCGCAGTGGTCTGACATGAGATATTAAACAAACAAACAAACAAAAAAATCCTGTCCTTGCTGACACCAACATGTACTGTTAAGCTTGATAATGAAGTATAAAGGCCAGGATATTTATTCTCTGGGAGGTCATTCTCAGACTGCATGCCATGGGGCTTTTTTGTATGTCAGGGCTAAACTGTTCTTTAGGGTTGTTGAATGGTGCGTTTTGGTAATAAGGTGTGCAGTATTGGGTCTGATCTTCGATAAATAGAAAGTACTGTTGCTTGTTTGAGAGAATCCAATGTGCATTTTATCTATTTTCAAGTCCCTTTAGAGGAAGGGACAAAACAGTAAAAAGCTGCATCTCCACTGATAAAATCACATTACTTTGTTTAAATTACTTTATGTCAACAATGGGTCTACCTACCTTCCTACTGTTGTTATTTTTAATTAAAAAACTTGTTGGAATATCTGAATATACTTTCTACTCCTGGAAATGTATCATCTATTTCAAAGAACATGAAAAAACGGATAAATATCTCTTGAGTTTAAAACATCACAATTCTTAGAAAACAGAATGGAAACAACTCTTCCCAAGACTAAAGCAAGACTTCAATGGACAAGTTTGATCCAAAATAACTCTTTAGTTCATTCTGATGAGAATGTGCTTTTAAGGAGTATTTATTTCTTTACTGTCTTGGTTTTTGCGGTGTTCTTTTTCCTCCAGTGCTTTGGCTCTTGATTTCGTCAAACTGTGAGCAAGATAACTTGCTGTATTAGTATGATCAACTTGATAGCAGGAATGCCTGTTGAATTCTCACAGTGTTGCAGATCTGTTGCTAAGGTCCCTATCTTGCTTCAAAGTATTTGTATGCTAGTGCTGTGTTTCTGGGAAACACTTGGCTGCTCTGCTAAGCACTGCAGAGATGGTTTCCATCAAACCTTCCTGTCTGTAGGAGTTACACCGTTTCAGAAAGAGAAGGATATTAGAAAAGATACTCTAACTGCTCTTTTTCATGTGTGTAGAATAAAATGATTTTGCATGTTTAAACTGGGCAGCTATTTTACAGAGGTATGTCATTGCTACAGAATTGTTATAATTGGACATGATGATGTAATCATGTCTTAGCTTCTTCATTTCCACATTGTCTACTCTGTTGTAGGGCACATGTTACTTGGTTCCAAGTTATGCCCACAACATCAGGCAACCAAACAGAAATGTTTATTCCTAGTGATAACAGCAGAAATTTACTAGGTGATCTCATATCTTTTCTGACCATATGGTAAGCTTAATTTTTGGAGGTTTACTTTCCATGTGTAACCATCTGCATTTTCAAAATCTGAAATTACGTACATGTTTCTACTAATTTAGGAAAGCTATTGTTTCTGTTTGTTCTTCATAGAATGTTCTGGAGAGCTCAGAGACAGCTCTTACTGATCTTTCTTGTGGCATAAATGGGGTTATGTTACAGGTCCAAACCCATAACAGGCCAAGAAGTAGAAATCAGCTAAACTATTTTCAGAGAAATCAGCTTATGAGGAAGTTGTTTTCCTCTTCTGTGTTCCCTTGAAATTAGGGGTTATGGTATGAACTATTTGTACTGCTATAACTGTTCCAACCTGCTTATCATTGACGTTTCTCTGTAAGACTTGATTTGTTGCAAACAGCTGAAACTCAGTTAAATCCTGGAAAAGTAAGCCGTACAAAAGAATCCTGTACTTGGAACAGACAGAAAGTTTTGTTCTCTTAATTCCTATGATTTTATTGAAGATTTTGCTGTCCTGTTACAGAGAAGGAAAGGAGGGTCTGAACAGATACAAAGAAATGTTCCAATTGAAATGTAAAGCTTATTGCTTAATTTCACTGTGCATCATATTTGGAAAGAGAGGGTGGCTGTTCCTGATAGCTAACTATGTATTGCTGGTTTGTGGAAGAGGGTATTTTGTGTAAAGCTGGCGATGCTTGACAGGCTCCTTAAGTGGGGATCAACCTCATCTAAAAATCCAGCTGATCCTTTGTCTAAAAAATAAAAATAATTTTAAAAATCCTAATTACGGGGTGTGATAGTAGCTTAAGTCCCTGTTATCGGTGTAGTTGAACCAATTGATTCATCTTACTCTAGAGAGAACGCCTTGCAGCTATTTAATATTTTTAGGATGCAGAGGTTGATAGATGAGGTCTCTGTGGACTACATTAGGAGCTGAGACATCTAGAACAGGGTTACATACCAGAATCAAGGAGCTTCCATGTAGTCATCTGTCTTTTAAGTAAATTCTGCCTAGAATTCCTGAAACCTCTTTGCTCTCTATTATGTTCCGAATACATCCTTCAGATTACTAGTTATGTCTGCTTCTTTACACTTACTGATCATAAGCTAGAGAAGCTGGTAACAAATTCAGCTTGCAGTATAGAAAGGTAGTGAGAAGGTGCTTTCTTCCATATCTGCTTTTGGTTTCCTTACAGAAAAATATACAAATACGCTTGCAGAATGGATGGGGAAGTATGAGAGTTTTATTAACACACCAGAACTTTAGTTGTAGCTGCCTGTGCTATGGTAGGAAGCAAGTTTCTTTCACTGGAAATTTGCACTGGGCACAAAAAACACAGCTTTCCAGATGTTCAGTGTTTGGAACTCTCAAAGCTTTTTCTTAAGAATGTTTTTTTTTTTCTTTTTTTTGGTAACAGTAGATTTCAGTTGTTCATGTCTCCATCCTTTGTATTTTATTTCAAACTGTGGTGCTGTTGACAGCATTGTAGTGCTTGATATCACAAAATACAGTGTCTAATCAAAGATCCACAACAATCTTGCAATCAAGAAAATTGTTAAAAACTGTTCTAACTGGGTTCTGCTGAGTACAGAGCTTGCTGAGTTTGATATAGTAGATGTGTGCATCTCTGTGACCAGGCCTGTTCTGTGCTTTTTGTCCTACTCTGTGTGTACCCCCGGTCTTATTCCCTAAGACAGGAAAATATGTCTTCTGCCATGTTTGGTAGTCCTTTTCTGTTTCTCAGCAAAATATAGGGCCAACAGCTGGTGTCTGAGTCTTGTTAATATGGAGAGCAGAAAAGTTTTTTCTTCCAAAAATCCCACTGACTCCATTTGGACAGGGGGAGGAAATAAAGTCATGTGGTGAGGTAATAAAATGTCTTTTTACGTCAGTGGAAAGCCTGTGAGTTTACTAATTGTCTTTAAAACACAGAGGGAGTAACAGTTAGTTAAGAGATACTAGACTGGAGTTTGAGTCATTAAACAAATATTTTTGTAAACCTAAGATATTGATTAAAATCTGCTTTGAAGAGGAGCGAGACTCCTATTTTAGGCTTCATCACTTATTTTAAGGAACTTGGGTGTACCTGGCTTTGATCCTAGACGTAAATCCAACTGATGCAGATCATTTTCCTTCAAGCAGCATGTTTAGTTAGGAGGAGGAAAATACCATGCTTTGGAAACTGCATGTTGGTTGCATGTTTAGATTTGATTTTTTTGAATTGTCTTCTAATAACCCATCTTTTTTCCAGAACCCTGTGATAATATGAGAGAGATTCTTCAAAATGTGGCCAAGTTACAAGGCGTATCAAATATGAGGAAACTAGGTCACTTGAACAACTTTACTAAGGTACGTGCTCATATGTGGTCAGATGGACAAAATGCTTTGCATGTACTCTTTCAGATGCCTGTAAGATTCATCAAACAGTATAATAAAATAGCATGTGAAAATTTACAAGATTTGGGAGAGGGAAGGAATAAACAAGAGCAAGCAAACAGGTGAATACAAAGTCATGCCGAAATTTGCGTCTGCTGACTGACTTTGTAGTACTGTAGTGCTTAGCAGTTGTCTCCTAATTCAGGGATTAAGTTGCTCAGATCGAGCTGAAGAATTGCTTCATGCTTCACAGGATTGAATAAAATATCTGAAATGTGTGACTCTCTGGATGTTAACTGACAAAGCATGGTGAGGGGGAGGGCTGTATTAGGGAGCATGATAGGCAGCAGCTTGAGCAGTGTTCATGCTTTTATTCAGTATGAAAGCTGTCAACTTCCATTGTTGATAATGAAAAAGACTTAAAGGATCAATTTCACTAAGTGATCTATATTGCTGATTTGAGGTTTTTTGTTTTTGTTTTTTTTCAAATTGAAAGTTCCTGATCATGGGACTATAAATGATCTTTGCTTGAAACTTTGATAGGTATACTGGGAGATGCCAGGATTCAAAGTTTTAATAACTTCTGAATGAGAGATGATAGAGTCAGGAAAGAGACTGTGAAAGACTCTCAGAATGACAGCAAGTATGATTACTTTTTTTTTTTTAATCAAAGAACAACTTGTATAAGAGAGCAGAGAAGACTGGGAAGTGAGCAGTGAGTTGGGAAAAAGATGTCTGCTGTAGGATAGTGAATGGTTATGGCTGAATCAGCATTCCAGATATCAAGGAAAGAGAGAGATGTATTGCAGTAAGTAGGGTAGGCAGCAATGGTGCTACAGTGTTTGTGTTACCTGAGCAAATGTACTGACACACAGGAGTTGGTACACCTTTCTGGTAGTGTCACATTTAGGACTACATTCCTGGAGATGAAACCTATGTCTCAGCTGCACAGGATGGATTCTGCAATTGGCTGTAACCAGGAAAGGAGGTAATAGTAGAGAATTTGTGGGAAAGCAAGGTTTAAATGATCACTGTTACATGTGACAACATTACAACAGCCAGGAGGCTACGGTTTTGAGGCGCTCAAGAATGAAAGATCAGGGATAAATGAGCCAATTGATATGAGAAGGACAAACATTCATCATAATCTTTCAAGTAGGCATGTTTTTTGGCTGTTCAAAGCACTCCTTATAAATTCTACAACACTCCAGTGGTAGCATATGAGATACATTTGGCAGGAGCATGAGTGCTGTGAACAAACTTAAGATAGCAAGTAAACTTGTCTTTTAGTGTTTTAATAATAAAGCTTTAAGTACTTCATCTTGAGTTGCTTCAGAGTACGTGAAAATGCATAGCATTTGCTGAGAAACTGCTTATTTACAGTAAAATCTTTTTGTCATTTTTTTTTTTAAATTGCATCTGCAGCCACTAACTGACAAATGCTGCTACAGTTACTGAGATTCCAAACTAGTTCAAGAAAACCACTATTAAACTGCAGTAAAAGGCTCATGTGTTTTTGTGCTGATCTGGAAATGTGTAAATTCAGTTGCCTCTAAATTCTCTAGCTACTTTAAAACTAAAGAACTGGATTTAGGTTCCCGGGTGCATAATTTTTAGTAAGAAGTCAGCATTCAAAACTATGGGCCTAAAACAGTATCATTTTATTACTGAAAGTCAACAGATGCTAATTAGTTATAAATAATGTAATTAAAGGATAAACCAAAAATTCTGTTAGGAAGTTAATTTTGAATGATTTCACAATGAAATATTTTGAAAAGCTGCTATTCTTAGTACTGACCCAGTGTTAAAATTGGAAAATGCATTCAGGAACATCGAAAAGAATTTTGTCAACTGAACAGTGGCAAGGATTGAAGAGTTTCTGAAAAGTAATTTGCATCTTTGTCTTCTGAAGACAGACTGTAGTTCATAGTTGGGTTTGGATCCTAAATCAGAATGACCTTGTGCAAGGCAGACATCCTAATCTTTGGTGTTCAGCATTTGTTTAGCGCTTTCAAAGCAGGTATTCCAGGGAGACCAATATAAGCATATAGTTTGTATGTTTAATTTTGAAAACCCGTCCAATTTTTGTTTGAATTGCAAATCAAGTAATGACATAAAAGTTGCAAAATGCATTGTGGTTGGAACTGTCACAGAATTACATAATGGCCCAGGTTGGAAAGGACCTCAAGGATCATGAGTCTCCAACCCCCCTGCCACAGGTAGGGCCATCAACCTCCCGATTTAATACCAGCGCAGGTTGCCCAGGGCCCCATCCATCCTAGCCTTCGTGGGGATCTAGGGATGGGGCATTCACAACCAATTTCTTTTCTGTTGGGTGATCCACCCATCAAATCCACATCCCTCCAATTTGGAGATAAGGATGTGGTGGGGGACCATGTCAAAGGCCTTGCTCAAGTCCAGGTAAATGACATCGGTTGCCTTCCCCTTGTCCACGAATGCCATCACTCCATCATAGAAGGCCACCAGACTGGTTAGGCATGACCTTCCCCTGGTGACTCCATGCTGGCTGTCTCCGATCACACGCTCATTCCTCATGTGATTAAGCGTGTTGTCCAGGAGGATCTGCTCCCAGAACCCTGGGATGCACGCCGTCCAGCCCCATAGACTTGTACACATTCAGTACCATGAGGCAGTCTCAGACTTGCTCTGCCCTTACAGTAGGAGAGGGGGATTTACCACCCCAGTCCCCACCTAGAGGTTTAGGGATGCAGAACTTGAGGATGTGAGAAGGATGTGAGAATCCTGGCCACCAGTGAAGAGCGAGGCAAAGAACTCATTCAGTACGTCAGCCTTCTCTTCATCTGTTGAAGCCAGCTCTCCTTTTATATTTACCAGAGGAGGTACACTCGCTTTGACCTGTCTCTTCTGGACACTGTTCCTGTAGAATGTCTTCCTACTGTTTTTCACCCACCATGTTTCTGTGATAGCAACGAGGTCATAAATTTCCAAGTGCATCATGTTTTCCAGCTTGTCCTTCTTATTTCCCAGACTGTGTGCATTGGTATAAAGGCAGTTCAGCTGGGTTTTCCTTCTCACAGCCTTTACAGAGGATCTAGCTAGAACAGTGGCATCCCCCTGCCCTAGTCCATCCCTTTGTATTCCACACTTTTTGCTCATCAAGCTTGGTATGACCCCTTGAACGACGCACTCAACCCCAGCAGCGTTCATTTTGTCCCCTTCCACCTTCATACCTAGTTTAAAGACCTTTCAATGAGTGCTGCCAGTTCCTTGGCTAAGATCCTATTACTCCTTGGAGACAGGCTGATTCCATCTGCATTTGCCATGCCTGGTGTTGAGTAAATTGCCCTGTGGTCAAAAAAAACACAAAATTCCTGTGTTTGCACCAAATTCTAAGCCATTTATTTATGAGGTGGGTTTTTTGGATCCTCTCAGTATCCTTCCCTGCCGCTGGAGGTATAGAAGAAAACACACCTGCATGCCTGCCCCATCAACTACTCCCTACCCCCCCCCCCCCCCCCCCCAGTCCCCTGCAGTCTTTCTTGATAGTCCTTAGGGTTTTTTCAGCGACTTCATCACTGCAGCCTGAATGTCAGTAAGGGGTAATAATCAGAAGGGTGAATCAGTCCAGGAAGTTTCCTAGAAATGTTCCTGACCCCTGCCCCAGGGAGGCAGCACACTTCCCTATGGGTAGGGTCAGACTGACATATAGGGCCTTCTGTTCCTCTCAGCAGGGAGTCACCTACAACAGCGACCCTTCTGTCCTGGGTGGAGGCTGTCTTGAGTTGTGGGGTTGACTGCTTCAGCCGAGGCAACCTCACATGTGGACCTCCCTCCACATCCCATTCACCTCTCCCTTGAGTTCCAGGGCCTCAAACCTATTGCGCAGAGGCACCTGGGGAGCTGAGGATGGTTGAGATGGGGAATGCCCACTTTGCTGAGCTGGTATCCGTTTCCACTTTTCCTCTCTCAAATTGCCTTGCTCTGCTTGGCATTGGCAGGGTCCACCACTGTCTGTTGAATATCACCCTGGTGCCTTTCTAGGAGAGTTACGCTGCTTTTGCCACTGCCCAATCCCCCTCCCTCCCCCCCACCAGTTCTTCACTGTTGTTGTTAGGGGGAGGAGAGGACAGGAGGCTCACTGCAGCACCGTCTGCCCTCTGGCTCCCCTCTACCACCTGTTTGCAGGGTGGCAGGGGATGATGTGCTCCACGTGGAGCCTCAGCTGTGTGCCAGGTTGTCTGGGGTGATAGGGACTGGCACCACCAATGGATCTCCCTCTCACATTCCTTTATGGTCCTCAGCCACTCCTCCTCCTCCAGGATGACCACAAGGCTGAGTAAGTCATTTCGCTGGTCACGTCTTATACAAGTGCTGCCTTCATTGCCTCGCACTGCAGAGGCCATCTCTGGCACTCATCACAGCCAGTGACCTGCACGCTAGTGTCTTGTGTTTGGGCCTCAGTCTGGGTCTCCACGTTCTTCTTGGCTGCAGTCTTCCTTTTACGTGAACATGGGACCTCTGTCTGGGTCTCCATAACTTTTGTGGTGGTAGCTTTCTGCCGGGGTGCTGGCATGGCAAACCAGCAGGCTCACTAACACCACTAGACGGCCTTAATGGGGTGACTGATCAGCCCCGCCCCGCTGCCGATAGTGCTGGCTCTGCCCTCGCCCCGTTGCCGTGTCGTTAGCAGGAGCCCCCGCACTTATCTCTCACTTCACAGTGATAACAGCCCTCGCTGGTAGTCCCGTGGATGGGTGGCTTACGGGTTTCTCCTCGTTAAAACAGCCCACGTGATTCTCACACCCTGACTCCTCCTCTCCGTCCCGGAGGCTTTTTGCAGGCAGGGGACGTGAATGCAGAGCCGTTGCCCCGGCAACGCCCACGCCACGTCAGCCGCTCTCGCGAGAGCTGCCCGGCTGCTCTGTTGTCTCGAGGATCCCTGGATGAGGGAACCGACCGAAACCCCCTGTACTGCCCAGTCAGTCGCTGCG